TATTTGTTGTCCACCAGAAAGGAACTTAGATCTATAATTTTCCCAGGTTATACAGTAATGTAGGCCATATTTAGTCTTCACTTTTGTCTCTAGACTCTCCATAAATCTAGCTAGCCATGGAAAAATAGCCAAATGTTAACTTTGGCTCTAATTCCAATTTATTATTGGATTAATTGAATCAGTATTAGAGCAAAGCGATATTTCCCATGTCAGTATGCAAAACACTCCTGATTTAATTTACTGTAATTGAGTAGTTCAAAGAACTACTGGTGTGCAATAGGATTCTACCTGTTTTTCATCAAATAGGAGTTAATTCTGTGAAAGACGTCTTAAGGAATATTAAAAAGAAGGCACTGAATATATAAATTTTACGAGAGCACTGTTCAAATCATGAAACATATTTCTCATTAATTTAAATAACAAATTAGCAAACAAGGTGACTGTTTTTGAGAAGTATATTTTCTCCAAGTCAGGGCATTTCAAAATTAGTGAGAAAATACCTTTTAAATTTTACTCTCCTCATTGCTTTTCAACCTAAAATTCAGGCACAAAGCTTTTTAGTATGAACATATGTGTTTATGTGTTCATATGTAAATATATAAGGATGCAAACAGTTTTATCTATTTTCCTGCATGAAGCTATTGGTTCTGAAAAATAAAGCATGATTTATATTAATTTGTATGACTTTGAAGGGATTTTTTACAGTGAGATAATTTAAATATAAAAATTTGAAAACTCTTAATCTTCTGGTAACTTCATAAATGCAGGAGCCAGTGACTTACCATAAAATACAATTTGTCAGCTTTTAAGATATGAGCTCAACTTGCTTGTTCAGACTTGGGCATAGATAAGAAACCTGAATATTTAAGCAAGACACACTCTAGTTTTCCCGTTGCTCAGAGATTTAAATAAGGCAGAATGATTGTCTATCACAGCTCATAATAATGCTCTTAAATTTAGAGCTCCAAGCACCCCCACTCACCAGTCGGCATGTTTCTCAGAGCTTCAGACTGAAAAACTGCAGCTGTGTTTATGTGGTAATTTAGAGCCCCTATTACATATGCAAGCAACTGGGCCGGTGGCTCAATCGCGATGCATTCATTTTGCTTTTTTTTGAATCGAAGTAACAAAATCAGAGAACTATATAGCATTATGGCCAGTCCTTTAAATCACAAAAATCAGGAGATTGAAAATTATAGACCCACAAAAAAAAAAAAAACGCGGTCTTTCCCATTCCCCATTAAATAAAGTTTACAACAGAAATGCCAGATACATGTATTTAAGGTGTGGTGTTCAGCTCAGAGCAAACATTTATTAAGGCATTAAAAAAAGAAAACCCCATGTTATCATAATAAGATAAATTAAAGTATGAGTAGCGCAGGTCTCTTACCCTGAAGAGTCTAACTGGAGATACCTGGAATCAAATACTGTGTGTGTGTGTACAAATAGGTAATATTCTCTATGGAGAACACCAGTAAACACATTTGGTTTGTGTCCAGATATGAATAAAATTCTCAAGTATTTTCTTTTGGAGGTATTACAGATTAGTGCAATCAGTATTACTTGTGATTCACATGGCAATGATATCTAAAGTATTTGTTTACTGTTTAGATCCACAGTGACCCCAGCAAAAGTATGGGTAGTTCATCTCACTATACACGAGTGTCCGGCACAAATAAAGCCCTTTTTATTACAAATTCTTTTATTACAAAGTCCTAAGCACGAGATTCTGTCACATAACAATGTCACACTCAAGCACACCACATGACACTTCAGGGGAAATGTTCAAATTGCTGTCCATCTCGTGGGAGACATTCATGTGCCCTACCAACCACACTCAAGCAGGCCTTGCTTCTGCCGGACCCTGTGTAATAACCAGACTCTGAAAAGTTGTGTAAAAAACTTGTTTTTGTGTCAGTGGAACACTACTTTAATGATACTTAATGATTAATTCAATTTTTAAAAATTGTATTCTAATTTAGGGGTTTTTATAAATCTGAGCTTTTCTCATATTATTTTTGCCTATCAAATATGTGTGTGCATGGCATGAGGAGAATGTACTGGCTTATTGCAAGAAAAAGTTTATTCTGAAACATTCAAATACTTTTTTAAAAGCGATAGAGAGAAGTGGAGCTTTTATAATTATACTGGAACATAAACAAGGTTGTTTCCAATTTATTCTTGGGTTGCATTTCAGGCGTTAAGTTGATTGGAATGCAAACGTTTCTACTGGAAACAATCTCTTACATGCTGGGTTTTCAAGAAAGCTCACAAAAGCAATGTATTTATCTAAGGTGAGGCTCTGTAGTAATTATTTGTAGACACTTTTCTTTTAAACTTTTTAGTGCTTCAGGGGAGAGAGGGCAGCAACCTTCTTGTTTCTCCACCTCGGTAGTCAAAGCCTTCACAACCTCTAAGTCACAGTAATGGCTAAACCCGAGTTCCCGGGCGGAGAGGGGGGGTGGGGGGGGAGTTTTTCTAAGCAGCTATGGAAAAGAACCTCTATCGCTGAGATTCATGAAAGGAAAAGAGACATTAAACAGAATGATTCCACTTATACACTCTTTAACCTGCAGACACCTAGATAGATGATAGATGGATTGATAGATGGGTAAATAGACAGACAGACAGAAATACAGATAGAAGATTTCAGTCATAGGAAAAGACAATGGTACACATGAAGCGTGCACCCTGTAGCCACAAGCCTGATTGCAAAGTTGGCCGACAGGGGACCTGATCTCTGATTGCTACATGGAAGTTGTATAGGTGCCAGGTTCCCTATGAGAAAAAAATGGAGATAATAATAGTACTGAGCTCAAACGATGTGGCAAAGGAGTAACTGAGACAATCCATGTAAAGTGAACAGCGTAAATCCAGAACATGGGAAGCAGCATAGGTGAAGGCTGCCAGGACATAGATATAGAGAAAAGCATATTCAACTATTGATCAGTTCCAGTTTAACTAGATCTGTGACCTTGAATAGGCCCTTCAATTTCCTTGGGGATCAGTTTCTTCAGGTAAAGTGACAGGACAGGTATAGATGCACTAGTGCTTCTTAAACATTAATGCACATAGAATCACCTGAGGATCTTGTCAAAATTCAGACTTTGATTCAGCAGATCTGAGGGTAAAGGTGGGAAGCTTAAGATCCTGAACATCTAACAAGCTTCCAGAATAAGGCGGATGCTATTGGTCTAAGTTCCACGCCTTGAAGAGCAAAGATCTAGATGGTTCCCAGCAAGAGTCTCTTCCAACTTCAAAACTGTCATTTATAATTATGATAGTGGCCCATTTTTTTTGCACATAGAGAAGAGATTTTTCTAAAGGATGGAGGATTCAAGTTCACTTGAAAGGAAAACTAGTTTCAAATTATCCTGGGTATTACATCTCTAGTGCTCCAGTGGGTCGTGGGAGTGAAGGCCAGAACATAGCTAAGGGCTCAGAAGGTGGCTGGCTGCTGAGAAGGCGGGCCAAGGGGATTTTCCTGATATAGCCTTCGGGAAGGAGGCAGTTTTAAGAAGTAGAAGGAGGCTTGAGAGCATTTCAGTTGGGAGATTTCTTTCTCTCTTGATTCTGGAAGGCAGCATTGAAGGATACTGAAGAGTGGGGGTTTTGTTTGAGGGGCGTGTGTGCATGTGTGTGTTATCAACTAGACATGGCCCATTTTCCCAGCTCTGCAAGTGAATGGCCGACCCTGAGCAAACTGCTTAATTTTTCCTGACTTCATTCTCTTTTCTATAAAATGAAAATAACAGTATTTTGTTGGGTTCTTGAGAGAGGGAGCTAAGGGAACAGAGGGAGTTAGTGCCTAAAGCTCATAGCATAACAAAAGATTATTCATTAAAATGACCTTCATCATCACCACTATCATTAACAACACTGGAAGGCTGAGCATTATAGTCTCAATTCTATTTTAGTTTCCATGGCAGTTGTTTTGGTGAAACTTAGGAGTCAGCATGAGTTCCCTAAGAATAAGTATCTCAGGCTAACTGTATGGTTTTTCTTGTTATGATTGCTGGATTGGTAAGTTAGAGGAATGAGGCAGACTTGCATATTGGACTAGCTGGAAATAGGAGGCAATATGAATGCATGTTGAGTGGGAGGAGTGTCATCCTGGGTAGATGCTCCTTACAGTTTGCCAGTGGATTCTATCCTTAGTCTTGTCTCACTCTTTCTCAATTTGGATGTAAACATAGGTGGCAAACTGAGCCAGAACATGACACATTACCATTCCCCACGGGTGTTAAAACACAGGCAGGGAGACCACTTGACAGGAGTAATAGAGAAAGTGTTCAGAAGCTTGGAAGGGAGGCCAGAGGAGGCTCTGATTCCCTCCCACCCCAATCCAGAACTGTGATTCTCTGATCACTTCTTAGGCAACGGCCTTAGAGGTTTCTATATTTGTTGCCAGGATGATAGCAGATTAACTCTGATTCCCAGCACACTCCCTGGTGCCCACTCAAATTTACCCCTTCGCATGTCTTCTTCCTTCAACCTGTTCTTTGATTGCTCTTTCAACTCTGCAAAGATATGTGAAACCAGATAACCAAACCGGATAAGAAATATAAATGCCACAATAGTAAGCAGGCCAGCAGAGAACACAAGCCATCTCTGCAGGGTTTGGCTTTAGGGTCTCAGGAGTGTTTCCTCTTCCATGTATGTTCCAGAGAAATGAAGTTATCCTACCTTTGGCCTCCAGAGCTATCTCAATCTCCTACTCAGTTATCATTCACATTTCACAGCAAATTGTGTTCATTCTATTAAGAAGTGTTTCACAAAAAAGTTGCTACAAATACATAGAAGGTGAAATAGCATAATGCTATGTGTGCACAACGCTTTGCTTGAATATATTTGTTGTTCCATTAAATTGGCTTAGAAGTTCAATGTTAAGCAAACTGTATACAAATATGTTCAAGTATGCATACCCTACAATCACAAATCTCTCATTTGTTATTGCCAAGGGGGTAACTCCTAATGACATAAAAAACTGTTTATGTTTATACTGTAGTAATAAAAATGCCAGGTTTAATATGCATGAAGCTAAGAAAACCAATGACAGCAGATACTGAATTTACATCGCAATGGCCCGTTGAATACCCAACAGGAATAACCCACAAAATGCAGATACTCTTCAGTGCAAAAAAATGCCTTAAATAGAAAAGGGTTCAGAAGAAATTTAAATAATTCTCATTTTACTTTACTACTTGGTTCAACATCTTCTTGCCCTGGGGGGCCATATTAATCTCTTAACAATATGCCAGTTTTCTCTGATAGGCCGTCTAATTCACACTTATCTCCCAGAATCAATGAGGTCTTAAGTCAAGGCTAGGTTGGGGTCAGACCAATTCTTCATTTATCACTCTTACGGAGTTGTAGATATTCCCCTAACTTAGACTTTTCTTTTGGAGGTAAACATTTTGCTAAGCAGTCATGGGTCAAGGGAGCGCATCAAAAACTCCTTGCTAATTTATCATCATCGATCACCTGACCTTCACTGAGTAAGCCAGGTCCTTCCTCTTCTCACGACACCAGGGTGTGGACAGTAGCAGTAAGTGTGTACCACCTTCTCTCATCCACAGCCTGGGAAAATGAACCTGCCTTTTGCAGTCCTTTCAAACCACTTAGGTTATATGCTGCTGATGTACTCAGAAAGCATGAATTGTTTTATGTTGCAATGTTTCCACTGAGTAGTAGAATATGTAGGGAAGTCAGAAGTATAGAATTAGAAATTTACATACATCAGCTCTGTATGCAGAAACATTTATAAAAGGGAATGAGGTGATATTATAAGATATTCACATTCGAGGGGTGCTGTGTATTTCCTAGGTCATTAATTTCCTTGGGTACACCTTTGAGGACTACTCAAAACAAACAAAAAAATTGTAGGTAATTTTTAATTACTAAATATGCTGTTTTTCCTTTGCAGCAACATTTGCCAAAATCATCTGATGTATTGGTATGATCATTTCTACCTATTGGGCAGTTTGCGAGAAGTATATTACTTGAAATGCCGTGCTTGCAGAATTTTTTCCTTTTCCTGTATTATGAGGAAAACATTAAGTTTTTAACTAAATTAAATTATTTTTAGAATATAAATGGACAAAATACCATGTTATTAATAAACTCCATATCTTTCTCTAGTCTCTATTAGGTGCTGAAACATGCCAGTAAGCAATTTCTTAATGTAGAAAATCATTTCAGCCGCAAAGTTCAAATTTTCTAACAATGGAAGGTAGAAAAGTGGTTCTCAACTGGGGATGAGCTTGCCCCCTAGGGGACATTTGGCAAAGTCTGGAGACATTTCTGGTGGGTGGAGGGAGGGGCAGGGGGAGGGGGATGCTTGGGTTACTGGCACCTGGTGGGTAGTGGTCAGACACACTGCCCAGCTCGCTACATTACAAAACACAACAGAGACTTACCCAGAATGTCCATGTTGCTGAGACAGAGAAACCATGATCTGGAATCTTATTGTAAATATAAATGCAACATGAAAGCCATTGAGATGGGCTGAATGAACTTTGCATGCTGGACTACCATCCTTTTCACAGGTGAGAACGTAGCAACCCTAAGGTCTAAAGAGGAATTCCACCTCTGATACATGAAAAAAGGAAACCTTTGTTCCTTTGTGTTCCAAGTCTCCTTAAGAAATACAAGTGCATGAACAATTCCATCACAGTGAGTCATGACCACATGCTCATTAGTTCCTACAAATTGTCTTATTTGTTATTCTTAACTTTATTATGCTGTAAATTAAGGTATGGCATCACCACACACCACGAAATTTGTTTTTCCCTTTTCTAAGAGTGTATAAGCTGACCATTGAATGTGGTCTTTAACCTGTGGAATTATATGCTACCCTTCTGCTCTTTATTTTGCTCATAGAGCATGGCCTTTAAAACAGGGTGATAATCTAAAGCAAATAATTTTCTAAACAGTTTTTCTGTTCAAACCCAGCAATATGACAAAAGAAAAACTGAAAAACCTTGATAAGCCTTCAGAATAAAGGATTTTTATGTATTTCACAGTGATTTGAATGTTAGTTCTTTTCTTTCTCAGGTATATTTTGGTGTGGTCTCTTGCCACTCCATCCCTTTGTCTTGTCTTACCTATTACTTTAATCCTGACTTGACCCTAGTTTCATTCACACACACGCACACACATATATACACACACACATATATTCATCTTTCCTTAATATTCTTCCCACTGACAACTGCTATATGTTACAAAACCTTTCTTACAGCTTAGAGGTTAAGCAAATTATCTTGTATAATTCACTTAATTCCTTACAAGTCTCTGTTTCCTCTCCATAAATGGAAATACTTCTATCTCTCTGAGAGGATTATTGTGTATAAATGGGAAAGTGAAAGCTCAGAAAGAATCTGATGCACTATAGTAGATGCTCATTAAAAAAAGCCATTACTCCTTTTTGAAAAAGTCAGAGCAGAACTTTGAAACCCCATACTCATCAAATATTTTAAACTCCTTGTATCTGTCTGGCACCATTTCTATGTGCTTGGGATACTTCAGAAAACAAAGCAGACACAACTAAACAAACTCCACACTCCTGGACCTGGCACACACACAGACACACGTGCAAAGGCAAACACACACAGGTGAAAACACATGCACCCACAATGGTAATATCAACATCTTTCTGCCCTTCCCTTACTTACTTTGGAAAATAAATGAGAGTGAGCACTCCTCATCCAGCTGGCCAAGATGGTATGATCAAGGACAGTTACAAAATGCTGAAGGAAGACTTTTCTTTGAAATACTACTTTTGGGGGGTTTTAAGGAAAATAAAGGTACATTTCAAAAAATATATAAAGACAATCTAGCTTAAGAAACAAAATCATATGAAACAGCAATAGGTACCAAACCATGGGGAAGGAGGGAATCGGCTTTTTTGACACTATTTTAATAGCTAGCAAGATCATTGAAGGAGAAATATATCCACACATATACTTATCGAACTTGAAAATAAACAATTCATAGACTGCAAACAGACCAGGTAAATGAGAGCACAACAAAATGGCTAAAATGTGCATGAAAAGGAAGAAAAGCTCATTAAAGAATATATGAGCTTTTCATGAGTCCTTGGTAGAAATTTTTTCTGCTCCAGGGCTTTGCTGTCCCTTTGCCTGAAATAATTCCCCTGCCTCTCTTCACCTGGCTGCCTCCTCTCATCCCTCAGCACTCGGCTGAAATGTCCTTCGAGACCTTCCCTGGCTACCCCAGGGAAGGGGTAACCGTCTAAATTAGGTGCCTTCACCCATCACCCTCCCTTATTCATCCTCTCTTTGTCTGTCTGTCTGTCTCTCTGTCTATCTATCTGGATATATTTTAACATGTCCTTCTACCCAAGTTGACTGAAAGTTCTACAAAGGGAAAGATCGATTTACATTGTCCAACTCAAGTTTTCCAGAGCCTAGCAACTGACTCCTACTTTGCCCTCAGTGAATGTTTATGGACCAGAGAAAAGCTGCTACTCACTCAGGGTATACTGACTGCCAAGAGCTCTGAGCTAATCAAAGCATGCTTCCTTTAGTTTTCTTGATAAGATGAACATGCCCTGCCCTTGTTGTTCTATGTGCAAACACGTTGGATTATTTGATCTCAGTCTGTTTTTCCTTGTGTACGCAGTACAAAATGAAAAATTCCTGGTATGGTGATGAATCTCCTAAGCCAAGCAAAGAACCAGGAATAGGTAAAGCTACTTGGAAGATGCTTCTCTTGTAACATCTAAGAGGAGAATGAAAGGACTCATGATTGTTCTCATTTAGGACTTCTCAAGCTAAACATTTGCCTGGAAACCTCAGCCATTTGCCTCAGTTGCATCTTAGCAACATGACATTTCTGATTCTCCCCATCCAGAGGTGGTGCCTGTTTTTCCTTCCATCCAACCTGGATTGAACATGTGACTTGCTTTGACCAATAGAACTTTAGCACATGTGACAGAAGCAGAAACTTGAAAAGTGCCTGTGCTTTGGGGCTTGCTCTCTTCATGGTCTTTGGGCCCTGAGGCCACGAGGTGAAGAATCCAATGAGGAACAAAGCTGATCCATCACAGCTGAGCCCCCCCCCATGTGGGCCAGGCTGACAGCCACCAAACATGTGAGTGAAATGATGATAGATTATCCAACCTCAGATTAAGGAACTGCCCAACTAACTCACACAATCATGAGAAGTACATGAATTCTGCTTTAAGCCGTTAATTTTGGCAGTGGTTCGTTAGACAGTCAAAGCTAGCTGAGGCAGTCACAGATAGCGTATCACTGTGTGACTGGCCCAGGGTTCTATAAATTGTATCGGGCATTAGTATCCTAAGACTGTCCAAGGCATAAAACAAGACTTTCTATTCAAAGTTTGGGAATCCCTGCATTCCAATGCATTTTCCACTTCAATATTAGCAAAACAAGCTATATATTAAAATTTTTGAGGAGCCATGCAGTAAAAAAAAAAAAAGAAACTTGCTTAAAAATGTTAAAGACAGCTCCCCCTTTTCAAACCTTCAGGACTTCGTGGTACTATAGTCATTGCTGGAACCCTACCCTGAATGTGATGGGGAGGGGACTGGACCAGAACTGTGAGGTCTTGGTTCTGGGTCAGCGTGCAGCATTAACAAAATGTAGGGCCTTTCACAAATCTAATTTGGTAAAATTAGACAGAATGAGAGACATGATTCCGGCCCTGAGGCTCTTTGAGGTAATCACCAACCTATTCATGTCTCCTTGGATGGAAACTGAAACGATACATCAACACTTTGTTTCCTCTATTGTATTCTGGTTTTGATGAGTCATGGCAACTCTGAAGTGGCAAATCATCCATTCATCTCAAAATCTTTTTGGAGAGCCTGCTGTAAGTCAGGTCCTATTCTGAGCACTGGGGATGTATTAGTGCCCAAGGCTCTCTATGGCTGCTTGTATTCTAATAGAGGGGGACCTCAAATCTGCAAAGACATATCTCATATAATGCCAGATGCTGTTAAGGGCTGTGAAGCAAAACAGAGGTAAGAGATAAGAGTAGCGGTTCTGAAACTTCAGCTTACCTGGAGGATTTGTTTAAATACGCACATTTCTAGGCCCCAGAGTATCTATCTCTGTGGGTCCCAAGCAGGAACTGAGAACTTTCATTTT